CGGGACAAATTGTAGAATGCGGTCGCGTATACAACAACAATACATGCGTTTAGATGAAGCGCATCTTACTTATAGTGCGCTTTACGAACAAGGTAATACGATTATCTCTACCAATTAACAAGACTAGTGCTAGCGGTGCGCACGCTGCACGTCGTCGGGGCCGAAAAACTATCCTTATGCCGGTATTGATTAATTAATGGGCCACTTATAGAGTAGGAGTGTGCATCATGAAATTTGGAATGAATACCGCTAATTGAATGACCTTAGTTTGGCGTCATTACATGAACGTCGTGTATTCTTTGCCCTTTAGCGCAGTCAGCTATATTGCGCGAGTGGCAACAACTCGTCTGCATCACAGTTATCAGTGATTGGCGTCCTAGCCACACTGGCTGCATGCGTGTCGTCGTGGGGGTGCGACGAAAGAGGCCCTGTGTCGACCAGCGTCCCGGACGCATTGGTCGTCGGGCCGTCGTGGGGCGGCGACGAAAGAGGCCCTGACGCATTGGTCGTGACGTGTGGCATTTCGACCCGTAAGCACGGTTCTAGGCGCATCCCATGCCGAGAATGGGTAGGCGGGTAGAAAATTACACACATGTAGATCGCAAGTACGTGTTTGGCCTTGCGCCTTACTACAAAGTGGCAGTGGAGAAAGTTTGTCGACCACGGTATAGTAAGGTTACCAACGTGGGGTTAAACAAATAGACGGGGTCTCCTATGTCTAAGGACTGAACCCTCGTGCGCCTACCATAAGGGCGCTTATTTTGCGCGTGAATTGCTCCGACGTCGTAGCCGGAAGCATCGCAGGGTAGCTAGTTGAGAACTTCTGTGACGGTGCTTACTTTTAATAATTTGAACACATTGAATAATGAAGACGCGTGTGTACTCGTGAAACAGTCTGATATATTATTCAATCGTGGAAGATTCACATTGCCATGAACACGCCGCCATTTGCATTGTTTACAAAAACATAAGCGCCCCTAGCGGGCGATACTGAAAAGAAAATGCGTACTCCGGTGGAATGCCGCAACATCCCGAGGGACATCATTTGACAAGGATGTCGAAAGCGCAGACCATAGTATCTCAATCCACGTGACAACTTAGTAACTTTCACAAAATGCGATAACATTCTCACAACTTGGATTAGAACGCGAGTAACAAGTATGCGTGATTGTCAAACAATGAGTGAGCGCAATTGTCCTGATTGTCGAAAGACAAAGTTCAAACAGTCTTCTGAACCAAATTACTCGAGCTAAATGATAATCTTTTACGAATAATGAATCACCGGTAGCCCTTTCCGAACAACAAACGTTTAGTCCTTGTGTACGCGATGATCATAAGTTCCGCTGGACAAGCGCAAACCAAACGACAGTCCTTAACACAGGTAAGTGTCCTTGTTCCAAAACATAAATGAACAACAGTCCTTAAGAAACACTAAAAGTCCATAACATGAACCAACACAACATACACAGTACTGAGGTGAATGATACTTAATACACAATTCGAATCCTAAACGTCGAGTCTCTCGGACCTCTTTATCAAGAGGATGAGTTTCGTTATTGGTCGTTTGAAGACGGTTCCATCCGCGTATTTCACGTCAACAACTCGGACAAAATCGTTGTCACCGACGTAGACTTGGACGATCTCAGCCATTTTCCAATGTCCACGTTTTACTTTGTCATCGACGACTAGAACGATGTCTCCTTCGGTCAGGTTGTCTTCAGCTTTACTCCATTTTTAGCGTGGAGAGAGCTTATGGATGCTCGTCATCCAACGACGGTCGGCAGTGCACATGTGGTTCGATCGTTATCTCGCATGTTGCTTCCTACTGCGAGCGTGGGGTTAGAGTTCCTTTGTACTGCTGATTGGAATTCCCGACTATTGACGTTCCGACCCTTGCTATTCCCTACACCAGAAGATAGGAGCTTCTTATCGTAGTGACGATACCCATCTAGGCCGTAAACATTCGGTCAGACCGAGGAGAAATGAGTGTTCATACCGCACGTGAGTATTTGACAGTTTGTGGTAAATTAACAGTCATCGTGGTTGAACGGCCGTTTTCCTGAGATGCAATTATTATGACCACAGCGATGGCAGATATTATTAGCGTTCATGATGTCGAATTTCTCACTTTGCGGGAGCGTACGGAACTTATGACAGCCTTTCAAGAAGTGATTCGAGGTCTGAGGATGCAGTGGGCATTTCGGCGGTAGGTGATCGGTGCCTTTCTTCTGCGTACCAAAGTCCTTCTTCTCACCAGCGTCTTTGCCCTCTCCGGGGGACATCGTAGAATGACTGGTCGATTTGCGATTCTTGTTCAATGTATACTTGCTGGTTGGGACTGTTGGTGCTCAGCAGGATTCTTGGCTTTCTGCAGGAGTACTAACAGAGAATGTGACTATCTAACGAGACCGGGTACGGACTCTGTTGCCTTGCCATCAGCGACACTCTGGAGGTATAGGATGCGATGTTCCTCCGGTAGCTTATGACGAACTTGCGTCAATAACATCCTGCCATTCAGATCCTTTTTCAAGCCAACGGTTTCGACTTGGGTAGCGAAGGTCTGGAGTGATTCCACAAAGTTGTCCATGGCCTTGATGTCCACTTTGCCCTTTAAGTCGAAAGAATTCATCTGTTCTAGGTCATTAAGCAGCACGTCTATGAGTCGGTCGTCGTCACCATATGTCTCGTCCAAGATTTCCCATGCTCTTTGGGTATTAATGCAAGACTTTATCTTGTTTCTTTCGGTTTTCCTCTCCATCGATTCAACAAGCTGGTAAAAAAGTTCAGTTTCCTCTAGGTGCCTGGAAAAATGCGTGAAAAGTTCCTTGAAACGTCTGTAATCCCGCAGGTCGCCGGCAGCAGCCATTTTAATTGCCGCCGCGCGGCCACTATGCGCATAGTGGCCGCGCGCGCCGGAAGGAAGGGGGGGGGGTAGCGGCTGTATTGATTGCCTCTGGTTGCCCCCGGCAACCCTGTTCAATCAATACTTGAACGTCTATGGCGATCGCAGGGCGATATAGTCACACTTTATAGTCTATCGTGCTATAGTCTTGTACACTCTGTATCAAATCGGTGCAAGGTGAATGTTGTTACTACAATGACATGGCGCATGTAACATAATGCATGTATTGTAACTCAATGTTACGCGCATTGTACAGTCGTGCAAGTCAGTGCAAAGTGAATCCAGTCTGCATGGGCCGGTTTATTTACCGCTGCTACAGGGGTGCGTTGATTGAACGCTGCTGCAGGGGCATAATTTTTTCATAATTTTTTCGTTTTGGGTCATCTGACATCGTGTAACTTTGGATACATTGGAACATGGGCACATTGGATTTGACCTCCGATGTAGTGGCCATCCTTGGACATTATATATATAGAGTGGCCGATATTTATTTGAATCGGGAACAGACGAACAGAGAAATTTCCACAAATATGTATTCGATAGTATTGTTATAAACGTGTGTTTATATGTCTATGCGTGTATGTCAAATTTATGTACATGTATGAATATATGTGTATACATTTATATACTTATTCGTTTAGACGTATGTATTGTAAATATGTATACATGTATGATGTATATAGTATTTGTATAGACATGTATTGTACATGTGTATACATGTGTATGTATATAGTATTTGTATAGACGTATGTATTGTACATGTGTATACATGTGTATGTATATAGTATTTGTATAGACG